AGACCTGAGGAACGAGTCGTCACACCATGATTACAAGTTGGCATGGGAAATCAAAATCTCCTAGGAGGCATGATTACAAGTCTGGAAATCAGAATTATGAGTAATTTATTCACCAAACACGTAACTTTTGACTTCAAGTGTTAAATTGTGTAATAAGAAGAAAATGTAAGGTTGAGTTTACTTTTCTGGCTGTACTGGATGAAGTTACTATAGAAAATCATTTAAGCTATTTTTTAAAATATAAGTTTCTTTTTATTCTATTAATAAAATATATTTTAAATATAATTTTTGATAAATCGACATAATTAGTCAACAAAATACAAAATCAGCTCATTCAATCTATTTTGGCATTACCAAACGAGATCTAAAAGAAAGTATTTATAATTCCCCCTTTGTCCCAATTTGATTTACAAAAGTTGAATGACACAAGAATTAAGGTAGTTAAATAAAGTTTATTCAATAGAGAAATAAAGTTTACTATTTTTCCTTATCTCCAATAAAATAAAGACATTTAAGTGAATAGAAAACAAGTAAAAATAATGGTAAATTTATTATTTTATTCATCTTTTCTTATCTAAAATAGAAAAGTGAAAAAATAATCAAAATATAAAACTTTATAAATCAAATTGGGGCGATAAAAATACAACACAAATACAACTACCATTACCGCGAGTTTAGTGAGACAAGCATTTTTGTCCAAATTTTTTCAAGTTTTGCATGTACAATCAAGACTACTCTTAATTTGGAATATGAAAATTGAAAACGATTAATGATGATAATAACCCTTTTAAATATAGGTCAAAATGTCAAAATACACATAAAAATCCTTTAGTGTTTAACAACACACTTGTTTGATGTAAAATCTTTTTTGAACATTTTATGTGTGTAAAAGTTGTCAATATACATATAAATTGTCTGGAAATACAAAAATTCTTTGTGTTTAAATAACTCTATTCATGTAAACCGAGAATGTCTGGGAATGATTTAAAGAAAACATGTAGTACCTTTGTTCCTTAAAACTTTGCCAAGTTTGATCAGCACAAGATTAATAAAGTAAAAACTGTGTGGTTGAGGTTTGTGCAGAGGAGAGAGAATTAACTGGAAACACAAATTATTTACTTAAAAGAAAAAGTGACAAAAGTAGTGAAACATCAAAAAACGAAAAGTTGATAAAGTTTTAAGGGAGAGAAGAGTACAATTAACACTTGTTTTATCAAATAGACCCATCATGTGAGAATGGACCAAAAGTGGACCTAAATTGGAAAACCGAAAAACTTCAAAATGAAAATATGACCAAGAGAGTACAGCATAAGACAAGACAACAATCTTTTATTATACAAAGCCAAAAGAAAATTTGTACAGTGTTCCCGCTCGAAACCATCACATCAAGCTTCTCGGGTCGGGTCATCCACAGGACGGGTTGGATGGTCCATGGGTTCAACAATGGGTATGCAGGCAGCGCATTAATGATGACCCGTTCTCCAATGTTTTTGTGGCTTGAGGAACAAATTTTATGGGTTGTAAACAATCTCTAGCCTGACATATCCAGTCAACAGTTTCGAAGAGTGTACCATTTATTAATAAAAAATGGAGTAACACGGTTCCCAAAATCTTTCAGTCAGAAAAAGGAATCCGCATGCAAGATTTGACATAATTGAGCCTCAAAAGCATTTAATGCTATGTGCTACATTTACTATTACACATTTACACATGTGTTTATTCAAATTTTCAAAACCTATATCCATGTTGTTTGCTGGGCTGCCCACAACATTAATTGTTTGTACTACAAAATCACAAAGTAAAGATCGGGTACACATTAACTGTTGGTTAATACCCACACGCTATTTAATGTGTGCTTCATTTGAAACTTCCTCCTGCCCTTATATATACCCACACGGGGTGGCATAACAACACCCAAAGTTCCAAACATAGCAATTCACAAATGCGAATTAATGGCAAATTCATCAAATGGCAGATTCATCAACGCGAATAGGAACATGGTCTGTGATCAAGGACAATAGCTTAAAATTGTTGATCCGATTACCATTTATTTTTTTTAAACAGGAATGTTTAAGCCTAATGATATGTCTTAATAAATTTTGTGCTTAAAGTTGTTCAGAAATGTTCATTATCTTTTGCAGGTTACATACATTCCAACAAATATTGGGATACCCGAAGAGAGCTACAAGTCTACAACTAGCACATAAGAGGAATTTATGAAAAGTAAGGGTTTTATTATACTTCTCACTACAGTGTAATAAGTATGTGTGCATGTGTATGTATAACATTTCTGGAATAAAAAACATATTTATTCCATAAATTATCATATTATTAGCCCAAAATATTCACATTTTTGTTAACAAATCAAGGTTACTGAAATATCCAAATAACCACATTTTTGGAGCAGATTCATACCTGCCTTTTAAACTGTGAAATCTTTCAACCTGCATATCATATATATTTTAATCTAATTAATAATTACATTTTCCTCATGAATATTACATCATTGACAACTTTAATAGGTTCCGAAAACCTATTAATTATACATTTTATGTCTGAGAACCTAATAACTAAAAATAAGAAAAAGATATCTTGCTTAGCCAGCGAAACCTGCAAGAATTATGGGGAATGAGATTCCAGAATATGAAAATATCAATTACAATATTACAAAATGTTCAGTTTTATGTGTTTTGCTTGAAATACAGGATACCTCCCAGTATTTGAACATAAAGACTATGTATGTCCACATAAGCGTAAACTCACTGACTCACCAAATAATGAAATATTAAACAAGAGGTAGTAAAGAAGTCCAAGGACAACAAATCGATCACAGAAAATGTTAACGATGTCTTCTTTCTTCCAAATATAATGAAATAACCCTTTCATGTGGAGAGAAAGTATATGACAAAAAACTTACCAAATACATCCCATCCATTGAAGAGTGCACATCACCTTTTAACAAAGCAACCAATAACCAAAATGCATCTTCTTTGCTCATGTAAAGAAGCAGAAGGCCTGCAACGAACCCCATGCCCTGCAATATGGTGTGATGCCATTATCATGCAATCCAAAATAACAAGATCAACCTTCTTTTAATGAATAGAATATGCACCTGTACATATCCAACATCTCTGTCATATACCGAGTATGCTTTAAGAACATTGTAGAGAGACCTCTATCAAGGTCCATGCCTCTGTTGAAAAAATACATGTGAAGGAAATGTGAGAGGTATCTCGAATGATATCTACCTCAGAAGCTAATGTCTCATAGATGATATTATGACACATCCATACCCCAAAAATTCTAGACAGATTTGTTATTCCATCACCAATTTATTTTATGTTTTCAAAAAATAAAAAATTCGTACATAAACATCTCGATTAAAACAAAAGAAAAAATGTTAATCAACACCTCACAAAATGGTGTAAACTGTAAACTTTTGCCTAAGTTTAAAAAGTGAAAACATATTGGACAAGCAGGAAAGAAAAAAACGACCTCTATTTTTAAGACAAAAAAAACATCAGCAAACCAATCTAAAAAGTGATAGTAATTGAGGATATGCACACAAATTCAAAAGTAAGATAAAATTTAATTTTAACCATTCAAAAATAAATAAATGTGTAGGACAGAGAGGTAAGGGATATACTCATATCGGGAGAGTAGTGAAGACATGGACTGAGAAATTATAGAACTACTTCGGCCACCGTAGAAATTTCTTCAGCCAGCAACGTTCCATCGGTCCGACAAGGAAGCTTCTAACACCTAATAGCACCGATTTCACGATTTTAGCATAGGTAGTGATGGATTGTTGGCTAATATTCGATGAGGGATGCTAACCGAGGTTCAACCGAGCGATAATGTTGTGTACGGAGAATGAAAGGAAACGGCGCAAGAGTATGAACCGTTTATATATGTGATGTTTAGGGTTGGGATGGTTGGGCATTTAATATGCAAATATTCAATGGGATAGGTGTACTGGGCTTGGCTGCATAATTGAGCTTTTTCTAAGAGCTGATATATGAATTTGTTGAAGTAGTGAATGTCTGGGAAAATCCATCTTTGTCAATTGTCTTATTTTATACTCCGTATCATAAAGTGTAAGTGTGTTTATATTTAGAGACAGTCCTATTTTGGAATTTTCGAACTTTTTTAGTCTCATTTCGGGAACTTTCCCTTATATTTAATATGTAAATATTTTTATATTTTTGATTTTCTTTTTTTTTTTTAGTTTATATTTTATTTCACATGTTATATTCTCTCCGAATAAAATATTTTATATTTTTTTAGTTTATATTTTACCTATCTTATTTCTTTTTTAGGTTGTACCATACTAAGTGTAAAATTTTTTGTGGAGATATTAGTTTTTAGTTTTTAAATTTTACAAATTTTGTATATTCAAATACTTATAGCATTCATTATTCATTTTTTATGGTTATACTAAAAAAAGTAAACAATGGAATTCCAAAAAAGAGGCCCAGTCAAGCTCATATTGTTATACGAGTATATGGGAAGTGCAGAGAAGTTTCTTATTCCAACGTATATGGATTGAAATCACACTTGCTCTTTTTAATTACGAATTATTTTATATACAACTTTTTATTATAGACTCGGATTTTCTTTTTCACTTATTAATAAATAATAATTTATGATTCTTCGATGTTATTGTTAATGTAAATAAATAATACTCCCTCCGTAACTTAAAAAACTTCCCACTTTCCTTTTTCGTCCGTAACACAAAAATCTTCTCATTTCTAAATCTCCCCATCATACCCTCAATAATTCTTAAAATAATATATTATTACAACTATTTTTTTGGATTTATCCTACATTCCACCACATTATTCCACTATTTTCCCATCATACCCTCAATAATTCATATCATCTTTCACTATTCTTAATCTACCTACTTTTGAAATGAGAAGATTTTAAAGTTACGGAGGGAGTATTATACATCTCTATTAAATTTTATCCCGTGCAACGCACGGGTGAGAATCTAGTAATAATAACCCAAAACAAGAAGCAACAAGAATCCCCTTGTCCCCACAATTCAGTCAAAGCAAGTAGAGGATCGATCCAGTTGTCCCCATAGAGGGGATGCGGAAGTGGTGATGGAGAAAGCAGAGCAAGAGTTAGAGAGGAGAAGCAAGTTCCTGAACACCCTCATACTGAGGAAGAAGGCCGTGGAGGAGCAGAAGAACCAGCCGCCGCCGCCGCAGAATGAGCTCCGTAATCTCCGCGTGAGGGCCTCTGACATGCCCTTAGCTCTTCAGAACAGAGCTTTTAGGTGCGCTAAGAACTGCCTTGACTCCATGCCCTCTCCCAAGCTTGACAGCAAACGCCTCGCCCTTGCTCTCAAGAAGGTAATCCACCTGCCTTGTCATTTTTGATTGATTTTGCCCCGTTTTTATCAGAAGCATTTTTACTCCCAGTTCACTGCCCTTTTTACCAGAAAGATCGATTCTTTTCTGCCAAGGGCTCAAATTCTTCAATGGTAGAGTCATATTTGTGCAGAATTTGCTTGATCTGAGATGTCCTTGCTTTCTTTTCTTCTACCTTATCAAGGCTAGGGTTTCTATCGGAAACTCACAAGAACAGTTGCTCTGTGCCTCACTATCGGATGGCATTTTACATTGACTTCCTGATCACTCTGGCAATTTTGTAGAAAAGAAAGAATGATAAAGAAGAGCTTTACATTCATTTTTTTGGGACTAACAGATCATAACAAATGTCATTATTTGTGTTGTGCCAAAAGTAAAAGGAGACCTTTCCGGGGTTGCAGCTAGATTACATTGTGGGAAATCAGTGTTTGTACCCCATATTTCAAATCATATATCACTCGATATTTGTAATCCAAGTGAGAATTTGCACCCCACTTTATTAACAGATTTTTCTAACTTTAGGGTGTGCATATATTAATGATTTAAAAAATGAGATTCACACTAAAATTTGGGTCGGATGGTGGGGTACATTGTGCTCAGCTACATTTGCCTCTGTATTCATTATGCAATGAGTATATTTGTGTACTTGGTAATGATTGTTGAGAGTTGGACACAACTAAAAACAGCTAGCCTTTTTTATACTCTTAATGATTTGTAGTGTTCCCCCACGTTTCGGAAAGTTACATTCAAGAAACGTGGATTCTCTAACCGTCCGTAGTGTTGATACACCATAGCTTTGGTGTGTGTGTGTGTGTACATGTATATATCACTCGATTTTAGTTGTTTCAAGAATTGTAAAAGTTTGGTCAGGTCTTCTCTAGTTGTTTGAAGATATATATAGTATGTGGCAGTGTTATCTTTTGGGAAATCATTAACCATCTATACTCCACCTTATTTATTTTATTCTTAATCTTATTGATGATCTCCTGGCTGGAGCATGGGTTTCAGATAATGCAACCCCCCCCCCCCCTCCCCCCCCCGGTAAATGATTGAAACTTTGGTTTGGTTAACTACAGGAATTCGACTCAGCTTATGGTCCAGCTTGGCATTGCATTGTGGGAACAAGCTTTGGGTCATATGTGACACACTCAATGGGAGGCTTTTTGTACTTCTCCATTGACAAGGTTTATGTTCTTCTTTTTAAAACTGCTGTAAAGCCTTTGAACAAATAAATGATGATTCCTATTACATCTCCTGTTATTTTGGACCGTTTTCTGGGGAGCGAACTCCTGTTAAGCTAGTCCTGATCTTGAAAAGTTACAAGAACGGAGAAATGAACTGTGGAAACTAATGGCTGCACTGGGTTCTTAGATTTTGTTCATATATATTGTAGCTAGCGTGTTGCAGTGTTGCATTGCCACATACTGTTTGTCACATGTTTTCGTTTTAGCGTTTCCTACAATGTCTTGTACCTTAGAGTATAAATGTTAATACACAAATGCAATTTGAATGCACAATTCTTTTTTCATTGGGTGGTGTGCCAAAAGTCTTCATCGCAAACACCAATGGGACACAAAGATGATTAAAACCTGCACTTCAGCTCCAAAGATCGCACCTGCATAAGGTGATGTTGTGTGCCTAGGGGTGGACCCAGCCATGTGTCATTGAAAAGGAGTAGCTGTAGCCGTAATCCTGCATTCCTTGATGGAACTGGGTGGTTCAGGTCTGGCTCTAGAGTCAGCTCCGACACCGGTTCCTAGCCTATGATTAGAAAACTAGTATGCAAGACAGAATTGGACATGTTTCGGATTGGAACCATATAATCAGTCTAACTTCGGGTAAAACACTGAGATCAGGTTCACTCTAGTGCTTGCAACAAATCAGGTCCTGTAACTTGCTCAAGCCCAACTGCTCAATGGTAGTGTAACCCCATTTCAAATTGCCCCAACATTTGCACCAGAATTGAACCTCATAATCAATGGACTGTGGAGCACTTTGTACTATGCCAAGCTTATTTTAACAGGTGGACCAACTGAATCCCATCCTAGCAAGTACTAGGTAGGGACCGTAGGGTGTTTATGAATTATGACTAATAATCGGTTAGTATGTGTTTGGAAATAATTTTCTTAATAACTGGGTAATCAAGCATCATTCACACTCATTCATGGTTTTGCATTCAAAAGTGATGCAGTGGCTGAGTTATTAGAAATGGAGACCGCTCAGACACATGAGTGTTTAAAGTCATCAAAGTAAACTATGACACCCATTTCATGAATATCTTATCATATCTTAATAAAGAAAAGGTTTTCTTAATCCATTCCAGTCCTCCTGTTAAGCAATCCAGTCCTATTGCTTGGTCAAGCAATATTATTTACTACAACCCAAATAAATTCAATATGGAACTTGATCAGCTTATTTCATGCCCCAACTTTAAGTTAAAGTACAACAAATGTTTCATTTAAACGAATCAAATAAAGTATATGAGGGCACAAACAGTTCCAAAAGTTTCAAATCAATCTGACTACATATATAAATAATAATTACAAATAATCACGAATCTACCATTCTTGATTGAACAACTCAATGAAGCAACCTCAGAACTACTTGCAAGCTGAGCTCTGAATTGCATTGCTACTATGTTACCTAACCGATGAGAACGATGGGATGTCATGGGCTAGGGAAGGAAATTCAAATGAATAGAATTTTATCAACACCAGAAAAAATACCAGAACAAAGTAAACTATGCTTATCCTTTTTACAACAGAACAATGGACGAGATTGTGAAGCAGACGATTAGAGAGCTAATGAGAGAATAGTCATCTCGTAAGTATTGTAATCCACAACTAGAGCTAGAGCCTGTAGAGTTTGTTGATGGAACGTGAGAACTTCCATTTCTCCAAACACTATGTGTACAAACCAAGAGGGAAAAAATTATTAGTATGGCTGTTCAAGTATTTACATAGTATACGATTATGAGTCAAATCTGGTATCAAGTTATTGGGTTAACCTTTTAGGATTTAAATTCAAGTCTCTAATTCTATATATGCTAACAAAGTCTTTGGTTTAGTTGTGGTTTGTTGGTTTATTTGACTCTCCCACAGTTGAAGGTAACCCATTTTTCTATTTCTCAAGTTATGGACTCTGATATAGAAATGTTTAAAAAGCAACGAAGTGAAAATAAGCCTGTACCTTCCAGGATATATACAAGTGCCATTACCTGCATAGGACAAAACTATCAGCATTCTAGTATCTAGAACCAGAAGCATGTCTAGTAAAGTTATAAGAAATACATAAATTCCCTCTGATCCTTCAAATGAAGCAGAAGCATAGATTAACAGAAATGAAATGATGGTACTACTTACTTGGGTCAACAGTGGTGATAATGGCTGCCTCTTTGAAGTCACAGGCGCTATTGTTCAAGCCTTGGCTATAATAATATGCATTGAAAGCATACGAAGCATGTGCACGCACAGTGTTCGGTTCATAGCACGGCTGTCCTTGATCCAAAACGGAGCAATCCACATTCCCCGGGCCACATGCCCAATCCAGCCCTGCTTGAATCAACCCCTTTTCAGCCGATGGTTTAGCAATACAGAAAGTCCGATTCGTGGTGTCATTCGTGAACAACTCCCAATTCCCCCCTGTCAAGTGCAGGGTATAAACTGGCACCCCGAACCGGTCAAACAGCCCCCAATGCTGCTCAGAAGTCGCCCCAGGGCTTCTATCTTCATTGTATAGCTCATAGATGTATGTACTGACTCCAACCCTGGGGTGCTTTGGGGTGCCACTGATGTTGAGAATGTGACTGATCAGGTTGCTGTTGTACGTGTTCGCGTTATCAAGCGTAGCATCCGGCTCGGTCTGGTCCCCTTTCGACGGCCAGCCCGATTCTGTCACGACAACCGGTATATCGCTGAAATTCCGCGCCTCCACGGCGAAATACGCCGCGTCGATCATCGCATCGAACACATTCGTGTAATGCAGGAGTGTGTTGGAGTCAATCGCCTCCTTGTTCTGAGGAAGGGGGCGGAAAAGCGCGTAATCCAGCGGGATCGAATTGTTGGACCGCATAAAGGAGTAGTACGGGTAGACGTTGAGCATGAGATACGAGCCGGTGGAGTTGAGGAACCGGAGGAGGGGGTCCATCACTCCGAGCCACGTGCCGTTGAACCGAGCCTTTGATGGCGGGAAGGAGTCGAGGATGACGTCGGACGAGAGGGGAGTGGAGATTTTGATCTGGGAGTCGAGATTGGCGCCGACGAGGGCGGAGTGGATGAAAGTCATGGCGGAGACCAGGATGCTGGCGGCGTTCGGGAGGGTGGTGAGGACGTCGGACCCGACGGCGATGGCGGTGATGTTGGTGGCGGGGACGAGGGTGAGGATGTTGTGCGAAACCCATTGGGCGGCGGTCTGGTTGGATGCGCCGATGCCGATGAGCAGTTGATTGGGGACGGTGACGATGACGCTTATTCCGGTGTTGGCCAGCGCACGGAGCATTGCTTGGTCAGCATCGAAGAGTCTGACGTGGCGAATTTGCTGCTTTTTTAGGAGGCCCACCACTTGAGTTGGACTGGGCATATTGGTGATGTCTTTGCCGATATTTACACCAATGAAAGCCTCTGCCCAATAAAGGAAAATATTTATAGTTATTACGGAGTAATTTATTATACCACAAAAATAGGAAAAAGGGTAGTGTTATAATCCCCTGAAGCTATTAATAGCACATTGAATGATGACTCAACCAGAAAGACATACGAGCGTTTGGAACTGATCCTGCTTCTCTTTTGAAGAAGCAGAAGTAGAAACAGTTTCAAAAACTCTTCTACACTTTCACTCAAACACTCCAACTTCCGTTTCTGCTCCCTAAAAGAGCAGAAGCACTTTCAAGAATCAGATTCAAACACCACATAATCTTTACAAACAAAACTGAAGACATTCCCATTAAAAAGATTCTCTTAAAATTCATACATGAAATGGAGTAATTTTCCTCAGCCAAACAAACTTATTGAACCATTTCAACATATACTCAGAAGTTCTTAATATATGCAATATTTGGAGCCACTTTTTGGGTACATTCAGAACATTAGCCACTACCTTAGAGGAGACAACAATAAACAAGGTAGCTAAATATGTAATGGAACATTAGCTTCATGGTACTGAACTACACATTCTAATCAATTTTGTCTTTCCCTATTTTTTGTGAAGTAATTAATAATACTCCGTACTATTTACACTTTCAGCGGTGGAACTAGAATTTTGTTTGAGGGGATGATGAGAAATATATGAAACATCAAAACAAACAAGTTGATATTACGTAACAAATTTAGAACATAAACTCATTTTATGTTAGGTGAGAGGTTATTGTTAGAATTCAAGTCCTTTTAAGTTCTGGCGTGTTTTGGTGGTGCTATTTAGAACAAGTTTTACTCTAGTTTGTGAAGTTGTGAACCTCACTCCAAATGTTTACAAACAAAATAGAAATTTTCTGCAAGTGAATGACCAAGATTGATGAGTTCAAATTCCTTATTAACAATAATGACGGCAATTAGGTGTTTTTAAACATACTCCGGCCTCTGGGAAGAGAATAGAGATGAATAAAGATTCCATATTTCTCTAGTTTGTAGAATAATCCCAAACTCTGATGCCTAGAATTGTAAAACTATTCCAATTTCCAAAGGTAAATGAATAAATAATGATACAAATTGAAGAATTTAATTGATCCACATTCCATACCACAAAACTAATTCAAGCATTCCTAGCTCTAGGGTTTCAAAGAAGAATCTTACTCCTTTTCACACACCTTTGCAAAACATTCAATACATTCTCAGGATCTTAGCTATCTTTATACTCACACAATTCAGGACTACATACAAACAAAATACACATGAAATCCTAAAACAGCAGTCAAGAAAAAGGGCAATCTTCTGTTCTCTCTTTCTCACTCTCTCTCTCTCTATTCCCTTTGGCAAGTTTTAACAAATGGATGAAAAGGAAAAAAACCCAGAAATAAAGTCAATTATAGATGAAAGAAAGGAAGTGACCTGCTTCTCCATGGCCAGGAGTTGCAGACAATACTGAGATATGAAGAGTAAGAAGAAGCAGAGGCAATAATACATTCCTGGATTTCCCCATCGGTTCAACCGTGTCCAAAGCTATAGTTTTTATAAAGAAACAGAACACCACCAAATTCTACCAAACTAATGTATTTACTTTAGAAGAAGTAAAAAAGGTGGGAAATGGGAGGATTGGGCTTTTCTTTTTTGAGGAAAATGGGTAGTCTAGCTACAAGAAAGTGAGACAGAGCAGAGTGTATTTTTTAAAAAAGGGGTTTCAGGAATTGTGGAAACCGAGAGGAAAGAAGTATTCTTCTCTTATTAGTCAATGCTCCGTATTTGTTATCTCACTTTCCCAATTATTATGAGCATTTTAAACAATTTATGGTCACCAGAAACGAATTATCATTCTTCAAATTCAGTGTATATTTTGTACCAGTTTCGCAAATTTGTCTAAACTAATTTTCCCAAATTTAAAAGTTTTTCCTTGAATGGAAATAAACTAGACTTTAAATTAATTATTTATGTGGGGAGAAATGCAATTATTTCAATATTCTTTATTAAGAAAAGTACGAAAAAGGTACTTATGGTTGGAAATATGATACTTGTTTTGGGACAATCCAAAATTCCAAACTAGTTTAGTCCAAACTACACTTTATTCAACCTAGTTATTCAAGGTGGGAACTTTCATAACGTGATTAGGATGGTGAGAACTTAATAGCCTAATATAATTAGGAATTTTCCTAATATATATTCAGGAATTTGCCTAATATCTATTTGGGAATATTTTGTATTTTGACAACTCTTCTATTATCTATCTGTTAGGGCTCCTATTGGAGTGCCCCCTTTCCCATTATTTCACATGGTATCAAGAGCTTAGGTTTTTAGATACAATTATTATTATTTTCTATTTTTTTCCGGTTCCCATGAACCCTAGTACAGCCGCCGCCTCGGGGTCCACTGCCGTCACATCTACGACAGTTTGCGATCCTTTGAGGATGAGCGCAGCTGATATGGCGCGAATCATCTTCTCCGCGTCGCTGACCACGGTGCTTGCTTCCAGTGTGCCGTTGAGTTCGCCGCCTGCTGTTGCCTATGTCCGCACAACCCACCTTCTTTGCGTCGCTGACCACGGTGCTTGCTTCCAGCGCGCCATTGAGTTCGCCGCTTGCTGCTGCAGACATTGATTCTTTGGATATATTTACTAAAAGTTTTTTTTTAGTTTGCAATTTCATTTTTAATAGACAACCTGCGCGTTGTATCTTCCGCACAGTTTGAGGGGTGTAATAGTCTAATATATTTAGGAATCTTCCTAATATATATTCAAGAATCTCCCTAATATCTATTTAGGAATACTTAGTATTTTGACAACTCTTCTATTATATATATATCTGTTAGGGCTCCTATTGGAGTGCCCACTTTCCCATTATTTCATAGAACTGAGAAGGGCACAAAAATCTTTGCACTTGAGAGATAGTTAGAGCTTTCACTTGGACACCTTGATCCCCCAATTTGACACACTCAGAGGTCATTTGACCACATTGTTTTTTAGCTTATCAGGTTTATTAGCCAATTTTTTCATCAAACACATAACTTTTGATTTCACGCGCTGAATTGTGTAATAAGCAGAAAAAGTAAGATTGAAATTACTTTTCTGACTGTATTGATTGAAGTTACTGTAGATGACCACTTTAGCTATTTTTATAGATAATTTTTTCTTTATTTCATTAATCAAATATATTTTAAAAATATTGTTTTCGTAAATCAACAAAATCAGTCAATGCAGCCACTTTAGTCGGAACTTCCTAAATTTTAGCACAATCAGCCAAATCAACCGATTTTTGTGCTACCAAACGGGCTCTTAATCTACCTCATTATGCCTAACTTCCATGCCAATCAAGCTCATCGAATTGCCACACCATCACCGCCTCATTGCTATTGTCATCTAATTTTTCTTTTTTTATTAAGAAATTATCTTAGATAGGAGTAAAACATTAAAAAAGTTTCAACGTAGGAGTTACCATTGATATATTCTCTAAGTAGGAGCTTTTAATGGACCATCCGTTCGCGAATTTGATTTATTCCAGATTTACCCTCTCTTGTCTTTCCTTCAACAGCTGTCAATCGTTTTATGCTCACTACTGTCCGGATCGATCAAGTCTCGGTCTCTTCCCCACTCTCTTTTTCTTTTCCCATCCTTATCTCTCCACTCCATCACATGTCTCGATCATCTTCATCCCATTCTTCTTCCTTCTCTCAGTTTTCTTCTTTCTTTTCCAATCTCTCATTTAATACTCCGTATCTATCTCCTTTTGCAATTGATCTCATATCCACTTGAGAGATTTTAAAATTTCGCACACTCCAAATGAATTTGAGAGGTCAGCGATATGAAACCTATGTCCGGCGAATTTGAGTAGTGGAATCAGATGTAAAAATTAATGGTATGTCCTCTTTAATTTCTTCAGCATCTTCTTCTCTTTTTCTTCTTCCTCTTCTCCTTCTTCTTCCAATTTTTTTTCTTTTCATTTTGATTTTTTTTTATTTTCCATTAATTATTTTATTTACGAATTGCTATTTTGATCTGGATTTTATAATTTTAAAACATGAAAGTCCTTTATTTGAAAATTTTAATTTATTTAGTTTTATCTTAAACAAAATGGAGTATTTATTAATATTGATTACTTTATTTTACATTTTCAGATGAATGAATTTGTATCTAAAAGATCTTGACTAATATTTATGTTTAATTTTGAGATTCAATATAATTTGTAGATCTGTAATCTTTGGATTGAAATATGTGAGGCTCCAACATCACTTACATAAACAGATCTTATTTTTTAATCATTTCGATTTATCTTTTTTTAAAAATGGCACAGTTTGTTTTTCTTATAATTCCATTTTAAGATGGCAATAAAATGTTGTGTTTTTGGTAATTAATGCCATCACAAAGGTATAATTTCATTTTTTGACAATTAGTGTCATTTGTATGCCATTTATATGGCACTAATTAACTCCATGTTAGATGGCAATATATGACACTCCCCAATACAATACAATATTACAATGTCATAACAATGTCAAAATGACTATAAATCCTCCTCCGTTTTTATCTGTTCTTATATTTTCCATTTTGTTTCATTGAATTCGAGATTGTTATATGAATTTGCCGTCATTTTGCTTTCAGCTTTTTATTTTTTTAACCTTTTATTTTATCTTTTTACATTAAGTTAATACTGCGTAATTTTTTACTTTCATGTAGATCAATTTTTTTAACTCTTCAAATTAATTTTATGATTTGAATTCCAATACCCTATAATTGCTTTTAACTTTATCACATTAAAATGAAGATATTACTGCCAAATAATGCCACCTTTTTCATATATAAAAATGTAATTTTTTCACATATTGCCATTTATATGGCAGTAACTATGTAGTGATGACAATAGTATTTTCCCTGTAAATTATGGTATAATTTTTATCAAAAATGATTTTGAAATGGTGAAATGATATTTTAATTTAGTTTTTTCAGATCTGAGTTGTCATCGTGAAGCGAGAGATGGTGGTGGTGCCATAAGAGGTATGAGGCAGTGTGATTGACCAACGGTGGCCGGCGACTAGCGGTGGAGGTACTTGACAGTTGTGACGCCGGCGGAAGCGAAGATAGCGGTGGAGATTGCGGCGACGGCTGGCAGCATCTGGCGGTGTCCAGTGGCGGCAAGGGGAGGCTGCCGGCAGTGACTGGTGCATGTCTAGTCCCTTGGATTGTGCTGGCGGCAACATGGCTGGAGTGGGCATGGGGAAAATATGTCGTTGTTGCGAACTCATTATTAAATTGGAATTCATTTAGTATATTACTCTATTTTATATGTTTACTAAATAAATTGTAATTCATTAAGGGCATTCTTGTCCCTTCCTATTAACTTCCGTGTGGCAAACTTCAGATAGAATAGGAGTCCTACTTTGGCACAATGAATATGTTTTACTCCTAAACTCGGAATTCTCTCTTTTTTATTTCCTTGAACATTTTCTCCCTCGATCGTTTCACTAATCCCTAGCCACCTTCACCATTAGTCGTTTTTTTAGCTACTTTGGCGTACCTAGAATAAATTTGTACAGTAGCCTCATTTTTTGCAAAATATTAAAAATAGTGCCGCCAACCAAGTTTTTATGGATAACTACTTAGATAAGTGGATAACAAATCTTTTAGAAACAAATTAGAGAAATAATACTCCGTAATGTAATTATCATACACAGAAATAGAATACAAATTATTTACTACGTAGTAAATTAAAATGGTTCTTACAGCTCATATTATTTACAAATACCCTTGGATGTTAGGCTACTTGTTGTACCACCTAAATTGGAAGCGAGTTGGTTTCCAAAGCTATTGGCACATCAAGCTTCAGTTTGCAACTATATTTGTACAAACATTACTACAAAAATTAATAAGATTGACATATACGAAGTATATATCTCTAACAAGGACACTAAGATTTATAAAGATTCAGCACGGATACGTCAAATTTGTGTCAAACGTCATTCTGTTACGAGCTATTTGGAACAAAATTACAATCAATCCTTACCAATCCCGTCAGGTAGTTCTAAGATCCACACTATTCTTCTTGTGTTTCTCCTTGGGATTAAACAAAGTCTTCAGAATATTCAAGTAACGATCGTAATTCACTATCTTAGTTTTGTGCGAGACGCTCATATCTGCCGATCGCTCTTTCTTGAGAGGTGAGATGACAAGTCTTGTCTTGGGCTAGTGGTCATAAAAACATACTACGTACAATTCTTGGGATCTTTCGAGACTCGAGAGGTTATAAATTTGATTAACCGGCCTCACAACGATAGCACTTGAGTATCAATAATGTAATAATGTAGAGTTATTAACGGAGTAGAATTGTTGTACTTGAAGAATATTTGGGATTCTTCTATTAGTATAAATAAATGTTGAAAATTATGATGTACGTAGTATTTGTTGTTGGAAATGCCCAAATAGTTGAAAAAAAAAGCATGAACACTAGCTAGCTACTCCCTCCTATCCATTCCAAATGTATCTGTTAATATTATTTACGTAACATTATTTGCGTACGTCCGCATGCATGATTGTAAATAATTGTATTTTTTCATTATTCTTGTATTTATCACTTTGTAACGGTGCATTTATTGTTTAGCTTACGTATAGGAGTCAAAAGGTCTCCTGGTAGCTTACTAGCGTAGGAAGTAGCCTTTGTAAACAATTTGTATATATTGCATCAAACAGTTGTTTGAGCAACATACGAATAATGATATTATTTTAGTCTCCGATATTC